AGCTTTAACATTAAAACATAAGTTTATTAGAAAAGAAACAAAGATAAAATAGAATAAATAAAACCGTCTACTTATAGTACAATTTCAAAGATTTTTAAAAATCTCAGTAAAAGTATAATCCAATTAATTCCAAAGCATTCCTTTATAAATTGAAATGAACAAAACTGTTTTTCTACCCAACATACCATCAGTACAATATCCAAAACATCACTCATATACTCACACTTGCATTCCTGTATTTAACACCTTGGTAGGTTTAAATCACTTGTGACTGCAACATTGAGATTAGAATTGCAGAGAGCTTCTTCCAGGCTGGGTAGTTGATGCGCACATTAACTTTGAAAAGGTAGTCAAACAGTGCCACATATTCGATTTATTTCCAGATTTGAAATGGTCTTGTTTCTCGAATGGATGGCCTTTATTGAAGTTTGTAAGATCTGTTTTAACATGAATTTTAGGTTCAACTTAGATGTGTGGTTGCTTGATGTCTTTGAAGTAAGACCTCACATTTCTTCTTGTAGTACCTTCTGAAGTATGTACTAACTCAATCTCCACTAATTACCATTTGTCTGAATGAACACTTCTCTATATCTTTATCTGCTATCCCTTGATCAGCTGGGTTGGTTCTTGGCCTGATACCTACTGCTATAGTTATATGCTTATTGCTTTTTGAGAAGACTTCTCTCTGTTTTGAGCTGTTTGATATTACTGGATCTTTAGCCTTGGATGTAGTCTTTTTTGGGTAGAATGGGAAGTAGTATTCTTGCTTGCTTCCCATCAACAGTTCTGATGGTTCTAACCCACCTTGTAATGGTGTAGATTGGTAGCTTTGAGAGTGTGATCTGGAAATCTTCATTTTTCTTTAACAATGCCTTCATAGTTCTGACCTTGCTTCACTGAGGATGTCTCAGGAAACTTGCAAGATGTACAAATTCAGCTTTTCATCAGTACAATGCAGTAGTTATTTATAAATTGTGAGCTATAATTGGAGACAACCTCGTCAAGAATTTAATGCATTGCAAAGATATCCTTTTAAAGCTCAAATGACTCTCTCATTAGTCATCCCATACAAATGTTTTGCAGGAAAAAAATCAGTGGCAACCAAGTCAGATTTTCCATTAAACCTGAATAAATCCATTCCCAGGTGTTTGCAAAGTCTGGTTGAATATTGGGTTGAGATAAAGGAATGCTTCTGTTCTGGTCTGTCTACGTCATATACCTTCCTAACAGCATCACAGGTGGCCCTATGCCACATGAACTGCAATGGTTCAAGATGTCAGCTCACCACCACCTTCTCAACAACAATAAATACTGACCCTGTCAGTGATGCCCGCATCCCGTGAATATATGTAAAAACAAGTAGCAAGCAGGGATGTGAGATTAACTGGATTCCTTTTGGAAAAAGTTAATGCAGAGTTGATAGACCAAATGGCCTTTTTCTATGCTGTGCAATTCTGTGATTCTGCGACCCATTATTAAGAATTCAACTTGTAAGATTATTGCATGCTGCTATTTTTAAGATCAATAATGAAAAATGCATTATAACTTTGAAAAGCCACGACTCAATAAATTGGTTTACATGACAATCTCTTTATAATAGCATTTTTAATAATTTTCTTGACAATCCTTGCCTATTAACAAACTGATGTGGTTTATTTAGGTCTGACTACTCTGCATTTGCAAATTTGCTTGATTTTAAAAGAACTTGGTAATTATCCTGGTTACTGATCAACTGCTTCAGTTCTGGTGCTTCATAGTTAGGCTGGTTGGTGACAGAGAATGTTGTTGCCACAGTTACTGTTACCTAGCAGTGGGATAGTGATGTACTTCACAATGTCCAGTTGCTTAAATTGCAACAAGAGCCTGCAGGTTAAATTATGTACTTTTCATGTTATGCAGTATATTAAAAAACAATCTAGTGAAGTACTCATTAGATGGTTTATGGACTATTGAATGCAAGAGTAATTTTTTAATGGATTAAACAGGAATTATAAGCATTCACATCAGTCTATATAATTGATGTGTCACCACGTCATTCTGCAGTGCTACTTCTTCACAGTGGAGTTCGGGCTTTGTAAACAAGATGGACAACTGCGTGCTTATGGTGCGGGACTTCTGTCTTCAATTGGAGAACTAAAGGCAAAGAATTGTTTTTAAATGTTTTCTTCCAATTCCAATGAGATGTGCTTGTAGCTGATAATCAACTGACTTCGGTTTTATTTGTAACTCTCTGTCACAGCACGCACTGTCGGACAAAGCAATTGTGAAACCCTTTGATCCAAAGACAACCTGCATACAGGAATGCCTCATCACCACCTTCCAGGAAGCTTATTTTTTGTCAGAAAGTTTTGAGGAGGCCAAAAACAAAATGAGGCAAGTCATTTTTTCTTCCCCTTCTAAAATCTACAACTGACTACGTCTGACTAATAGACAAATGCTCAACACCTGCATTTGTACGGTCTTTCCTTTGTTATATTAAACGGGCCTAAACCCTAGGCCCGAAACGTCAGCCTTCCTGCTCCTCTGATGCTGCTTGACCTGCTGTGTTCATCCAGCTCTACACCTTGTTATCTCAGATTCTCCAGCATCTGCAGTTCCTACTATCTCTGAAATGATCTTTCCTTGACATGTTTTCTCTCTCATCCCTTTATGTGTACAGACATAAGATAAACAGCAGTGATCTTCAGCTAGCAACATGTAGCTTGTGCAGAAAGTGTCTCACTATCGGGGAAAATCTATGGTCAAAGTATGGTCTTTTGGGGGGAGGAGGAAAGGCTTTCAATTGCTTTTGAACTCTAGTAGCTGTTTTTTAATTGCTCATGGCATCAAGGCGTCATTGGTTAGGTCAGCATTTATTGTCTATCTTTAACTGCCTAGAGGGCAGTTAAGTGTCAATCACATTCCTACAGATCTGGAGTCATAACAAGGCTAGACAAGATATGGATGTCAGTTTCACTTCCTTTAAAAGAGATTAGTGAACCAGATGTTTTTTTACAGCAATCAACAATGTTTACATGGTCACCATTAGGTGAGCTTTATATTCCAGGGTTTGTCTTGAATTCAGTTTTCATTGCCTGCTATGGAGGCATTTGAACCCATGTCCCCAGATTGTTAGTCTGGGGTTCTGGATTCCTAATCTAGTGACTATGCCACAGATCTCCTTAATATTTTGTTTGTGCATAGTTGTTGAGTTATTGGGAAGATGGGGTCCTTGGGTAGATATTTTCCTGTTTAGAAGTGAGAGGTTGTAGCGTTTCAGGACTGAGGTAAGTTAACATTCTGTGGGAACAACTGCCTTTTCCTGTGGCAAAGGATCTCGTATCCTTGAAGGGTAGCTGCCTGAATTGGAGAGCAATTGAATGTTCACCTTTGCTGAATAAATTCCTGGAAAGCCCCTTTCAAACAGCATTGTAGGTGTACAGTGAAGCCATGTCAATTGTGAACTCTCAAAACAATTTATACAGCATTTTGTCCATCGAGGATCCAATTATCCACTTACCAAAAATCCACTTATCTGCAGTTTTCAGAAGAAAAAGGACTGTAAATATCAGACAAATTAAAGTGCCCAAATCAAATAAAGAACCTAAAATTGGACTGATATTCATGATGTGCTGTGCTGTGATACCTGGACGAGAATGTACACAGTGTATGTGCAATGTCTGTGCTGAAGTAGTTGCGTGTGAGTGTTCACTGTTTTGTCATTTCATTGGTAATTTTATGTGTGACTAATTTTATATGCTTATTTTATTGAACAATTTTTCCATCATCAGGACATTTTTAAAAATTGTATTTTACATTGTTTTCATCGTTTATTAACCCGTGTATCCAGATGACTCCCATTGTAAGTTTGGCTTGCATTTCAAATTTGCAAGGTTGTTCAAAGACATCACCTCCTTGAATGGTGAGACTTTACCTTGCTTATTTCACACGGACGCAGCAGTTCAAGGAGGAAGCTCACTTTCTCCTTCTAGTGGGCCACCAGGGATTGGTAATAAATCCTGCCACATCCTGTGAATAAATATATTTAATACAAATAAGCATATATATTAGATTTTTGTCAAATTATCTTTAGGAATTGGGGACTTTTTTTCAGGAGATTAAGCAGGTGAGCAAGACTTTACAATAGAATAGATTGTGGATGGTCTGTGAAAGGACTAGGCTTTATGGGACACGTTACATTTTCTCGTTCTGTGCTTCCTAACTTCCCGCATTCCTGTTATCCAATATTCCATTGTGAAACTGTTTTAGATACAATTCTATCTGAACTTTGTTACAAATCGTACATTTTTATTCTTTCAGAGAATTTTCCAAGACAGTCAAACGTCCATATTCTGTACTCTACAACCCGTATACCCAAAGTGTTGAAATCCTCAAGGATACCAAAAGCATTGAAAAAGTTGTTCAAGACATCCAGGGTAATCTCGGCACAGTGTGTGATGCTTTATCCAAAATAAACAAACACTCAGCAATTTGACTGTCTGCACATAGATCTAATGCTGATATTCGTGTACAAGCTGCTTGCAGAAATGGCACTAAATACTGTGATGTAACCTGCTCTCAGAGTAATTAATAACTTACTTGGATGTTTCAGTAAAGCTTATGCTGCTCTTGGGTGTGCTCCACTGCCTTAAGACACAAAGAATATGATGGAAAACCCAGGCAATTCTGCATGAACTTGACAGTGAAGTGCACAAAGTAAGAGACTAATCTGACTGTTCAGGGAATGATCTCAGTATCAATGGCTGCCTCTAGTTTGAAAGGGAAAGTTACAAATCCATTGACCTGACAATTTCTCTTTGAAAACAAGCAGAAGTAACCAACTGAACAATGGAAATTTAAAGTGATGTCAGTAATAACTGATGATCTCTAACCTATGAGACAAGTAGGCTTTGTATATTTTCAAGTTAATCTATAATATAAAGGATGTCCCACTCTAAATTTATTCTGGTAATTGAACCTGTATGATTGTAAAAGATCACACACCAGGATGAGGGTATGATCAAATCTTTCTTAGATTGTCACTATTTCTGAAATATGAATTATTTTCAAATAAACATTGTTATATTTCATAGCATTCTCACATTGTGGAAACAGGCCATTCACCCCATCAATTTCACACTGATTCTCTAAAGACCATCCCTGCATTTCCCATGGCTGATCCACATAGCCTGCACATCCCTGACCACGATGGGCAATTTAGCATGACCAATCCATCTAACCTGCACATCTTTGGACAGTGGGAGGAAACCCACACAGACACGGGGAGAATATTGCAAACTCCACGCGGACTAGAACTGAGGCTGGAACCGAACCTGGGTCCCTGACACTGCGAGGCAGCAGTACTAAACATTGAGCCACTGTGTAACCCCAAGTTATTTGTTACTGCTTCCCCAGTACATGCACGGATGGACTGTGGCACTCTAGAACTGTATTTCCTAATGTCACTAATGTGAAACTTTCCTATATGATAAAAGCAATCTTTTTAATGTATAAAGGAAACTACTACAGATTCTGGAAATCTGAAACAAAAATGGAAAGTGCTGGAAACACTCAGTAGATCTAGCACCATTTGTAGAGAGAGAAGCAGTTAATGTTTCAGGAATGATCTTTCATCAGAAACCTTGTTAATTCTACTTTTCTAACCACAGATGCTGTGGATTTCAAGTGTTTTTGTTTTATTTTGGATTTCTAGGGTCAACGTTGTTTTACTTTTGCACTTTGAAATTTTCCTGTGCATAACTAATTTCTCCCTGCTCCACCTCTCAGTTTACATTATTCCAGACATTGGTTCAAAGAAGCAACCAAATTTGAATGATGATTGAGAATGAAAATTCAAAATCAAGCCCTCAGAACAAATACTTGGTGCAACTTGAGCTATGCTGCAACTGACTTATCAAACAATGGGAAGCAATTGAACAGAACATTCCTGCCTCATCGTTGGCTGACCAATTTGTAGTCACCACAATCCCATAGGGCCTTTTGGGGCTGCTCTCTCATCAGAGAGAGACGACTGGTTGTGAGTTTAACCACACCTTGGGTGGGGGATGAGATTTGAAGGACAATGGTGTCCTCTGCAGGTGTAGGTATTGAACCTCAGCCGTTGATATCACTCTGCATTGCAAACCAGCCATCCAAGCTAACCAACTCCTCCTCACCCATCTCAAACAATGGCATGAATCCATGGGTCATAAATAACAAACCCTACACCACTAAACCAAAAGGATCCTCATAAATCCTGGCACCAAAATGATCAAAATGTACAAAACAGATGGTTGATCCAAATGTGCAGAATTGCTATGACATGGGTTCTCTATTCCATATGCTCTTTTCTGATCACAACCATGATGTGTCTTCTTATTGCTCACTTATCTGTGTTTCAGCAGCTTGCATTTCTAACACTGCCTGCTTTAAACTGCTTTATTGTGACAGGAGCTCAAGTAATCGGACCTCTGACAGAATATTCCTTTGTCCTTTCTGTGAGAAACAGTCGTTTTTTTCATTAGCAACGTGTTAACATCAGAAGTATAACTGCAGTTCAGCATAATACTTATAAAGTGAAAATTAAAATAACATTATTCAACCTGCTTGTGACTGCAGTCAATTCCTTTTTTTTCGGTTGCAAATAACAATCCTTCTTGGTGATGGTCATCAATACATCATGAAGATGCTTTGTCTAGAAACAATAAAAGTCATGGTCTTTGTGTTTATCTTGAGATGACTCCTCAATGATGAAATCCTTCATAATACAAACAACAGAGACTTGCATTGTTCTCGATGCTATTGTTTCATTTGGATCTGATTTTGATCTGAGGCACTGACAGTAGTATTGTTCAATATTAGAACTCATGACACATACAAGAAGAACTCTATTCTGACCAAAATGATGACCTGGAACAATTTATTCATATCTTGCACTTCCAAGAAGGAAGACGTCCAACATACAATGTGAATGCTATAGGACATTTTGCTTTTCCGTTACAAATTATTCTATAAGCATTGTTTGAAATTCTGTAGGAAAACTAGGCAGCATATTGGCTGCAAGACAGCCATTCATTTTGGAATGCATTGTGAAATAAAAGAATTTTCTTGTTGCCTTTGAAAAAACACAGTTGCCAATGAGATTTCTTCGTAGCAGGATGTCCGAAGTCAAAACTTGAGATGTTGAGAGAGTCTAAAGAGGCTGCTGCCTGGCCCACTGCACATTAGTCTGCTGGTTTCATTTATTTATTAACAGTAAGTGGATTGTGCCAATTCTCACCCCAGAGACAGCTTGCCAGGCCCTGACCTGAGGTAGCAGTGAACATCTTAGGGCAGAACCAGTTGTGCGGGATGGGGAGAGGTTGAGGCTGGTGTAAATGAGGTGCAGGGTCAAATGCAACTGGTGGCATACCACAGTCTTAAAGTAGCATCACGCAGATAAGTCAGGGTATGTTCCAGATTGTATGGGGTTAAATACAGTGGCTGTGCAAAGAGACTTGAGGTTCAGGTGCATTGATACTCAAAAGGTCACAAACAGGTGCTGAAAATTTAGAAGGTTATGGGTGATCTGATCAAAGTCTTCAGGATGTTAACAGGGACATGGAACAGTACAGCACAGGAACAGGCCCTTCGGCCCACTAAGACTGTGTCGACAACATGATGCCTTTCTAAACTGAAAATCTTTTGCCTCTATGCAGTCTGTAACTCTCTATGCCCTGCCTATTCAAGTATCAGACAAGATGCTTCCTAAACATTGCTCGGAAAGATATAAGCTTCTACATTTAGAGATGCAAAGAGCTTAATGTTTGTTTTAGGCATACCCCCTGCATAACTAATGAAGGAATCTTTGGCAATATGGCACAGTTTCAGCGCTGAATAAACAGGTGCATACTTGTTGCCACATTGGACATTCAGGTGCCCATTTTATGCCCATAAAACATGTATAATGTGGCCCATTTTCACTCACACCAACCTGCCCAGTCACCAACTCGCCCCATCTCCAGTTATCTGCTCACTCTTTCAGTCAATCATCACCAGTCACTCACCCACCCCAACCTCCCATAACACACCCACCTTTCTACTTACCAACCCCCAGCACCCCTGCCACATCCCTGCACTGTCCCTCCCCCCTCAGTCAGTGTCCCTGGCTGGGGAGGTTTACTGATTAACATTGCTGAGGAATGGTAGTGGCTGTGAATGGAATGTCTCCCTGAATCTTTGAATAACCAATCTGAGTGTCCTGACAGAATGGCCAACAAGAGGGTGTTGGAAGGTGAACCAATGAGATAGTGAAAACTTGATTATTTAAGGAGACGTTCCATTCACAGCCACTACCATTCCTCAGGAATGTTAATCAGTAAACACCAGCAGTCATCTCTCTCTAATGAGAGAGCAGCCTTATGGTCAGGTAAAACTATCTAACTTAACCAATGACTAATTATTACAAATAAGCAGACAGTAGCTACAAAGAAACCATTATGAACCATCGACATATAATTGTACCAGTCAAAACTTTAATCTATTGTGAAACTTCCCCAACTCACACATATAGACATCCACAAAAACAAAACATAGGTGTTATAGGTGGAGGGAAAGACTGTGAAGAAGTTCAGTAGTTCCTATCCATAGGGTTTGCTAAGATGAGTTGGATAATCAGCCATGATTGTATTCAATAATGGAACAGGCTCGAAGGGCTGAATGGTCTACTCCTGCTCATATTTTCTATGCTTCTATGATCTTTTTCGTTGGCCAAGACTAGCTGTTCATTGCTCTGTCTTTCTCTTCAAGTACTTTCACTGACAAGAGACACAGAGCAGCAGGTTCACAAATTATAAGGTCCTTGACTGATTGTTTAAAAGCCACAGCTTACAGCAACTGATAAGAGAGAGTAGATTGGCCTTCTTCAGGTTTTTAAGTTGGTTTACTGCAGAGACTAAGTCTGCACCTTCCTTTTCGGATGTCCAATGGCTTCTCACTGAATATTCGCACCTGTAAGCTGTTCAGTTACCTGGGAACTGATCACGTAAATGTTGGCAGGCAGAAAGCCTTTGTTAATGATTACTGGTCACCATTCCCAAGACCAATCAGCGACTTGTTGCTGGCTGAATCACCCTTTGTGCACGCACCCCTGGCTCCACCTCATCTGTAGCAACCTTCTCCACAGCTTGAACAAACAGCAGTGTAAACAAATCTTACAATGAGTGTCAGGGAGCATGCTTTTTTTTAAAAAAAGTGCAGCTATTATGTCCATGATCCTCAGTTTTGAAAACAATTCTTTTCCCATTTCAGCCCTCAATCAATAATGCAGAAAAATAAAAAGAAAGAAAAAGGCATAACAAGGTTTGAAAGAAAGTACGTGAAAAAAGCAGAATCATCAGAAGCTACCATCTGAATAAACAGGGTCAAAGGTTATGATCTGAAATTATTGAACTCAATGATGAACTTGGAAGGAAGGGAGACGGTGGCCTAATAGTCATATCACCAGACTTGTAATCCAGAACCCGAGACTAATGGTCTGGAAATATAGTCTCAAATCTCATTACAGCAATTAATGAAATTGGAATTCAATAAGTACCTGGAATTTAGAGCTCGTCAAATGGTAATGTTGTAATCATTGTTGATTGTTAATGCCCCTCTGTCATCCTCAACCTGGTCTGGCCTATATGGAATTCCAGACCCAAAAATTGTGGTTGACTGTTAGCTGCCCTCAATGATATAGCAGGTCACTCAAGGTCATAAGCAATGAGGAATGGGCAACAAATCCTGGACTTGTCAATGATGACATTCCCTCCAAACCTGCAAATTTGCCATCTGGAAGAACAAAGGCAGCAGGCGCATGGGAACATTACTACTTGCAAGCTCCCTTCCAGGTCACATGTCACTTTGACTTGCAATTATTTTGCCATTCCTTCATTGTTGCTGGGTGAAAGTCCAGGAACTCTCTAATAGCACTGTGGATGCATCGCACAGTCACTGAACACCACCTTGTTGAGGACAGTTAGTGATGTGTGGTAATCATGGACCTTGTCAGTGATGCTTCCATCCCATGAATGAATTTAAAAAATACTACTCTGTTATCTGCTTTTCAGGCCAAATCCTTCTTGTATGTATTATTTAAATAACACTGGAATTACCCATGTATTGTCCTGTTTCAAACCTTTTATTTTCAATCGATTTCTTTGCATTCATTCTTTTGTTAAATGGATGACTGTCCATAAAATGTATTTTTTTTTTCAAAAAATCTAACACTGCATTAATTGATACCTTTCATTATTTCTAAGGGTTGATAATTTAGTCCAGCACTATATTGGTTGGATGGTTCTCCTTGATCATTGCATGAACTTGCAATACTTTAAGCTTCAATTCAATTGTATAATTTAACTTGCCTCCTGGTACATAGTCCAGGAAGTAGGCAGAGTGCACTGTCCTTCCTGAGCTCTTAAAAGGATGCTTACTTTCCCTGACAGTAGTCTGAGATTAAGCCAGTCTGTTTGCAACCTTGATGTTGCACTTAATCCTCTAATTGTTGGCTATTGTGCACTCCCAGTTTTAATTGCACCATCGTCGGTGGCCAGTTGCATGTGTCCCAAGCTCTGGAATTCCTTCTCTGCCTCTCTACCTTGTTTTCATCCTCTAAGACATTCCTTAAAACCTATTTCTTTAACTAAGCTTTAGATCGTCTGACTTTATATCTGTTTAAATGGTTTGGTGCTGTTCCTTGTTTTCTGACAGTCCTGAGATGTTTTATTTTAATGTACTTGTTGTCACAACTGAAGGTTCCAGTTGCTGATCAGTCAGAATCATCGCAGCAAAACCTGAATAAATGAAGCAATGTTGTTGTGCTGCTGCTTCATGAGGTCCTGCGGAGAAGACAAGGTTGTGAAAGTAAATTGGCCAGTCAAAAGCAGTACTAAGGCAGTCTAGATGTGAGAGACGGTGGCAGAGCTATATTTATTCCCAGTTGCTCTGTGACCTGAGAAGTCTTTAGTAGATTCTTAAAATCATAGAATCCCTACAGTGTGGAAACAGGCCCTTCGGCTCAACAAGTCCAACCACCCTCAGAGGATCCCACCCAGACCCATCCCCCGATAACCCACCTAATCTACACATTCCTGAACACTACAGGCAATTTAGCATGGCCAATCCACCTAGCCTACACATCTTTGGACTGTGGAGGAAACCCACGCAGACATGGGGAGAATGTGCAAACTCCACACAGACAGTTGCCCAAGGGTGGAATTGAACCTGGGTCCCTGGCACTATGAGGCAGTAGTGCTAACCACTGAGCCACCGACTAGATCAACCCAACTCATGTCTCAGGCTTGTGTCATATATTACATATGCATTTGGAGCTGAGCTGGTGTTTATACTTATTTATCCATATGTCTTGCCAGTTCAACATCTCAACTTACCTCCTAATGCTATTTAATGCATCAATCTCTGTAATACTTATTCAGTCCCATTCAACAAAAGCTCTTGTGTGTGGTGAATCTTGAATTCCTTTACGTATGGAGTGCACAAATCTATTACCGAAGTCTCAAGGAGATTCTGACATGCATACCAGCTTTTCAGTCCATTCATTTCTGCTTCTATTTCAATCTCAACCTGTTTCTGGAATTCTTTGTATCTGCACCCACAAAAAAAACAAAGAAACTTCAGCCCCCTCAGCACGCACGCTCTGGCTGTGCAAGATTGAGTCTACATACTACACATTCCTTACATTTGACCATTTAATTCTTCTCCAAACTTTATACTTAAATAATCCTTCTTCCTCTTTTAACCAAACTTGCATTTTTGGATGTACTTATTATTTGGTTTAATTTAAATAAGACTGTGGATGTTGGAAATCTGAAACAAACACAAAGGTTGCTGGAGAAACTCAGCAAGTCTGGCATCTGTAGAGAGAGAAACAGAGTTAATGTTTTGAGTCCAGTGTGACTCTTCTTCAGAGCGGTAAGTTGGTTTGATTTATTTGGTTAACTTCCCCTAGCATTCCACGTTCAACTTTCATTGCTGTCAGTTCTGTTAAATTTCAATTTTAGTTTCTGTTAAATACAACTTTTATGATGAAATGCTTAAAACGTTTTTCCTATTTTAAAGTAAGCTGCTTTAAAAGATGATCAGTTGTTGGAGTCAATAAGTTTATTTTGCTAAATGCAGAGAAATATGGCAGCATGGTGATTCAGGTAGACGATACATGGTAAAGTGAACTTGGGTAATTGGGTAATTTGACAGCTAGCTTCAGAAAAAATGGC